AAAAAAGGCTTGCTGATATTTCCTGCTATCCCAAACTAGAAAAATCCCACTTCACTCCTAGAGATACCATTTATAAGGGCCATACACATGCCATGGCTCTGCACTTGTATGTTTGCCTTGTCATTTAATCCTAAAAGCTGCAAGAGTTAAGCACTATTATTCTCCCTGTTTTGCATTTGAAGACGCTTCAGATTTAAACGTTCAAATAGGCATCAAATATTAAGCAACAAGTGACAGCTATGAGATTTGAACCAGGATACCATTACCTATAATCTCATTCACCAGGCTCTGCTGACATGTGCGCCTGGCCTAAATCAAAACTCTCAAGAGTAACAGCAAACTAATTTTCTCCACAAGACTGCCACACAAGGTCTGGTAGGCAGGTAGGTGTTTTGCTCCCTATACTTAGCCTCTCCCACGCCCTCTGCAATCTTTCCCTTTTGCTGCTTGGAGCGTTGAACATTGCAACCGCAGCTGGTGAGTGGGCAGGGGCAGCCACCATCTGCGCTCCGCGCCCAAATATGCGCAAGAACTTCGCACCCGGGACCCAGCTCAGACACCTCGGATTCCAGAACCTGCTGGGGCCAGGGCTAACCCCGCCCCCTCGCGGTGGCGATAGGTCGAACTCTCTGCGAGTGCGCAGCACTGATTAATGAGGTCGGTGACTGCCCAGGTCCCTAACAGCCCGACGCCTCTGCAGAGGTGAGGCCAGACCCGAGTGCCTTAAAAGGGGGCTTCAGTTCTTCCTGCCCGAAGGGTCCTTGAGAAGCCTGTTTGTTTTTCCCGGCGCTTGTCTCCTCCCATCCTTTGCTCTCATTGGCCGAGCCCAGTGGGCGGATGGGTTGCCATTGGCCGGGGGGCGGTGCCTATCCCTGGCCAGGGTGGGGGCGGGGCCTCCGCGGAGCTGAGCTTGCCCTTGTGTCTGGTGCTCGCTAGAGCTGCCGCCGCCGCTGCTGCCTTCGCCGCCGCCGCCGCTGCAGCCCGAGCATCCGGGAGCCGCCGCCAGGGCTGCTGCCAGCGCTGCCACCCCTCCTGCCAGGACCCCGGGCGCCCCGAGCACAGGCGGCGGCGCTGCTTGCTTGCTCCCTCGCCCCGACCCCTCCCCGCCGCGACCTCCCCACTCCGCGCAGCCCTTGCTCGCACCTCCCCGGCACCCCGGCACCCCTGCATCTCTGCACCGCCTGCTTGGGGAGCCCCGGCGGGCGCTGGGACTTGCTGTGCGCGCCTGGAGGAAGGCGAGCTCCAAACCCTCGCCCGGGCTGACCGGCTGTCGCCGCTGCACCGCTGCGAGGAAGAGGAGGAGGAAGAGAAGAAACTATTTCGTCCCCGAAACCGCGTTCTGCGGGTGCTTCGCTGCTGTCGCTGCCGCTGCCGCCGCCGCCGATCCGCGTCGCGGGTTCAAGCTCCGCAGCGGCGGGGAGCGTGGGTCCGGCGGAGCCTGCGCTCGGTGCGCGGCCACCAGCATCTGCGCGCCCCTCGCTCCTGCCCGCACCCCTCGACAGGGACCATGATCTGGAAACGCAGCGCCGTGCTCCGCTTCTACAGCGTCTGCGGGCTCCTGCTACAAGGTAATCTCCGCCCCGCCGCGGGGAGCAGCAACTTCACGCCCATTCCCCGCCGAGCCGTCCCCGCTCCACCCCGCATTTCCGCGCTCCCCGCCAGTCGCAGGGTCCCCCGCGATCTCCGCCCCCTCCCCCGCTCCCCGGTGCGGCAGGGCCGGCGGCTCGCCCGGCCACTCGGGGCTGGCGCGGGGCTCAGCCCTGCGCCGGTCGCCGGCCCCTCACGCGGCACCTTTCGCCTTTTCATTCACCTGAGCCGCCCGCACGGCTCGCTCCCTCCGCGCTGGCGCCTCCCTCCCACGCCTTTTGGCTGGCAACTTGTGCCTCCCGCGACAGCGCACCCTCCCACCGCCCCCACACCGCCTCCACCTCGCGCTCTCCGCCGAGCCTCTGTCTCCCGGCGTCTCCTCAACCTCCCCCTAGGCGAGTCGCCTTTCCCTTTCCCCTGCTTCCCACCCTCGGCAGATCCGTGTGTCTTTAAAAAAGTGTGCGAGACCCCGAGAGCGAGCTACCGGGAGGCGAGAACACGGCAGAGGCTGCACAGTGTGCATTGCAATAACATCCCGGGGGGGAAATGTGTTGTGAGATGTGTCATTCACCTCAGAAGAGAGGGGAGACTCAGTCTGCGATTTTAAAAGAGTAAGGGAGAGGGAATGAGGAAAAGAAAAGGGAACCAGTGAATGAACCAAGAAATAGAGGAAGGGAAAAATTTAAAGATCCAAACCCACTTTATCATCACATCGACTTTTTATTATTCAGTCTGTGTCGTTTTCGTTTTTCTTACAGCAAAGAAATACATGCTCCCTAGCAGTTACTTTACTGCTCAGGGATTGTCACTCTGCCTCTCCATCCTCTGCCTGCCGCTTCTTTCCGTAATTAATATTATCCTTTCACGTGAATTGCCAGAACCCCTGTGACCGCAGTGGAGGGGAACTGCACAAAACACTGTTATTATGCAAATCACTGGGTTTGGGTGCAGAGTGACTAGGGAACCCGGCTCACTTTCCCAGACCCTCTCTTGGAAGAGGGAGGGAGGGAGGGGCCCTGTGGAATAGGAAGAGGATGCTGATAGTGAAATACAAGGCAGTGCACGGAGAAAGAGTGAATGGGGAGAGCACACTTCTGGGTGGTGGAGGAGGCAGAGGAGGCGTGCTAGGGCTGGTGGGCAGGAGCCTTAAGGCTGAAGATTGTGGCTTTGAAGAGTGTTATAGCGATGTGGCCAGAGTGTGAGATGTGGGGAGGATTGATAGGCTGTAGGATTTTTTTAAACCTAGATGACTCTTGATTTCTTGATAAATCTTTTGCCCACCTCTAACCCAGCTGCATCATTTGGGTATCCCTAGGAAAGATGAAGTTGATCAAATATGTTTGCCCCTAGGTTAAAGGGATATAAAAGTAAGACGCACGTACACCCACAGGCGTGCAAAACCCAATCGGCCTTTGGAGGATTTAAATGAGGTCAATGAACCATCTTTCAGCAAGTTCTTGGAATGCATCCTTTCTTCTACCCGCTTCTGGGATGTAGACTGGGGACCGTATTTTATTTGTGCTTATTCATGAATGTAAAAGAAGACTGAATATTCCTGAACTAATTAACTGACCACACAGAGATACTTCCTAGAATATGTTATAGTAATGTGTATTTTACGATGGCTATACATTTCCGATGTCGTATGCCAGAATCTCCGGGAAGGCAGACATTCCACCTCCTATTGCCACCTCATCCCGTTTGGCACCTTGCACACCCCCACCATAGCTCAAGTAACCCTGGTGGCTAACACATTTCTTGGGCTGCTAATCCATGCTGAAACACCCTCCAGGAGACCTTAATTCACCTCTCAGTAACTTGCATTTTTCAGCTGTGCTGTGCTGAGTGTGTGTGTGCCTGTGTGTGTGTGTGCTTCTGTGCTCCTGCGCGCGCGCCGGCGTGCGACAGATAGGGGAGTGTGATGTGGGGAAATCAGTTAATTTGGTGATTGCGATGAAAATTTTGACACCGCGGGATGTGTTTTCCCTGCCAATCTGTGTGTGCTGGCCCTGGCTGGTCATCGCACAGACTGCTGGGCTGGTTCGCGGAAATTATTTATTATAGAGCATGTGGGCCATGCACTGCACTTGGGGGTTGCATCCTGTCTTCCTTCAACATTTCCCCGTGAATTGTCTCTTCAGTGTTCTGCAAAAATAGCTGTCTGTTGGTGCCTCTCTCTCTCAGCCTGGAGGAGAATTTACTCTTTTTCAACCTGGAGAGATTCCATCACCGACATTCAAGGCATGGGGCTCTTTTATTGAGTATGTAAACCAATGATTAAGACAGTGCTGCTTTTCACAGCCAACCAGGGAGATGAAACTGGGAAGGGGTGTGAGTGTGACAGAGCAAATGCACCACTGCAACCAGCGTGAGCACTAGCATCAGGTCCAAATAAATAAATAAATAAATAGGCATCCTGTACAGCAAACTGGAGAAGTGCACCAGTCCAACTAAATCTGTGTGCTTAGAAGGAGACCATATATATACACTTACAGAAAGAAGAGGAGGGTTTTTTTTCTCCTTTTTCTTTTTAAAGAGGAGGAGAGGATGAAGCCCACCACTGGACTGTCTCTTCATTTTTGTGGCTGTCTCACATTTACCAAACACTGCTTCCACAGACACAGCACACTTTGTCGGTTTTATCTGGTCTTGCTCCAGTTGCTCATGCCTAAAAACATTGCTTTGGGCTACAGATTTATGCTTCTCCCATTAGCCTGCTGCTTTATTAGGTATTGGTTAGGCTTTAATTCTTGGACGCAGATTAAATACTTAGCAGGTTTTCCTGTGTGCAGGAAGAGAGGGCGATGATGGTACTAGTAAGCAGATGATTTGGGTTAGGGGAGTGTGTAATGCTTCTCAGTAGTTATGACTAGGCAAATGCTAGAGTCAGTCAACAGCTTCTTATTTTTAGCCTCATCAGCTCTATAGAAATATTCAGGCATTTAAGTAATACCAATCAATTTATTTACCCCTCATACTATTTGTACTATTATTTTTTTCTCTTGCAGTTTTCATTGTTTGGGACAAAACTCATTTGAATGTATCTTGTGTTTTAATTAACCATGTTTTACATTTTTGCCTATTTTACTTTTCCTGGAAAGCATAATTATTCTGATTTTTTTAATAGGTGAAGTGATAAGCAAGAGGTAAAAAGTCATTGATTGAAAAAGAGGGGAAAATAGGTTTGTATAGTTGTATTTTATAAGACCTACCTGTTTTTCTTCAGTGAATCTTTAGGCAAGTAGGTTGAAAATAGATGTGTTTCTAATAAAACATTTGTTTCTAACAGAAGTATAACTTGGAATGTAAATTACTTAATAACAAAACCTTATTCATCGTTAGTATCTTTTCCTCTTATCCCCTGTCAGAAAGAAAAAGAAAAAAAAAAAAAGCTAGAGAGAGGGCAGGGGACATACTAGAGAAATGACTTTTATTCAAAATGAGGATTGCAAAACCTTGCCACCTGTAACTGAGAGCTCCTGTAGCCGTGGAATAGATGCAATTCAAATGCTTCCTCTTACTAAAGCCTCATCTGCTTCCACATAATCTGAGAAAGCACAGCAAAGGTGGAGAGGCTGCTGTGTAACACAGGAAACAGTCCTGGGAAGGGCAAATATAAGAAAAACAGGCATGCATAAAGAGACCTGATTTGTTGAGAACCTCATCTCCTTTTAGCAGTTAATCTTATACAAAAATACATCCTGACCAAGTATTGGCGGCTTTGTGTTTTTTGCAATGTGAAAGATTAACAACATTTCACTTTCTAAGAAAGATCTGCAGGTTAATGCTTAGTTTTACATACAAATTACTTAGCCTTCAGTATGTACCATTAACCTTTGGAAACATGTTAAGACAATGTATTATATGTATTTGTATATACTTCATGTAATAGTAATACTTCCCCAAAGCATATCTCTCCAACTCTTTTACCTCTACCTGTAAGAACTTCTGTAGTGTCAAGCTCTGTTCCTATGCCAGATGGAATTCTTGGAATATATGTGGTTTGCTCCTCATTTTTTAAAATTAATATGTACTTTGACTTGGCATCTATGCATAAAAAACAAACATTGTGACTTAAAAGTTAAATAGCTGACAGTTAGTGATTAAGAAAATTTCTGAAAGTGGTGGTGTCTTAATTTTGAATTAGGAAGTGAAACTGGCCTTGTTGTTGTTTCCCGTTTCATCAGAACCCTGGGAATGTAATGTGACAAAGCCAAGTTTCAGCTGAGATGACTCTTCCTGTGTCCTCCACTAGAAGATCAGACACTTGAAAATTATTTGCCTTGCATTTAAACAGTGAGATAGTGTTATTTTTCATAAAGAAAAAAATATCACTTAACTCAGTTAAACAGCAAAATGAAGTGCAAAAATATTGGAAGACATCCTGAACGTGCATTTGAAAGTGGCCTGGAACCAACTTCTGATGACATCAGTTTTCTTTTTACAGTAAGGAGCCAGTGGGATGTCTGCTGATGGAGACACGTTAGACTTATTTGTCAGGAAGAAGTTAGGGGGAAATTAATGGTATGGCGGAGACCTCTACTACAACGACAGTTATACTAGTGACATGTGTTTTATGATGTTATTGTGAAGATCCTCATCAGAATACATTTTGTAGGACTCCTCAGCAAAGTCCCCTGATGTGTAGTAGTAGGCTCAGGGTTGATGAGGCAGGAAAAAATCACAAATCAAAGAAGCAGAACTCAAAGATGAAGTTAGAAGTCTTTGTTCTATTAGCAAATGTTGGTCTCATATACCCTGTTTATAGCTCTGCTACCCAAAGATTATTATAGGTAAGCCTTCTGAGGGCAAGTCCTAGGCTTTTCACACAATAGCTGTGCAGTTTTATTATCCTCATTTGGGTCCAAGCATAAGAAATGAATTTAGAATGAAAAATATGTATGCTTTAATTAGTTTTGATAGAGTTAAAAGTCTAGATAGCAGCACTGTTACTTTGTGAAGTCATTTACCTAATTTGATATCTTGTAGGCTTAAACTGGTTTTTGAAACAGGATTCCCAAAGAAAAGTATAACTAGTTCTCCATACCTGTCTTTAAATAAATTCTATCTAATCATTCTTCACATGCTTTATAATCTATTTTTTTTTCTTTCTCATGATGAAAGTCTCAGAGATTTTTACATTAGATTAGATCATAAATTCTTCCCTTGAAGAAGACGAAAGACATAATTTAAATTTACTCATTTAACCTAAAATATTTAAAAAGGACAAGTTCATCGCCAACATTTTATTTGAAAATGTCAAGCATTTTTGGAGAGCAATTCTGTAGGATCCAGAAAAGGCATCTTTTGCAGATTCCTTATGTAAAGAGGTGGGTGAGGATTAACCTGGAGCTGTGACAGCCAAAGCCCCCTGCTGTGTGAGGATGCAAATGGCATCTTAGGCCTAATGTGCTCTGCTGCACCAGGCAAACACAGGCAAGAGTCATGTGGCATGAGAATGAAATGGGAACGCTCTTCCCGGCTGTGGTAAACATGTGTTATCTTTTAGCTTTTTATGCCCAGAAACAATCCACAGTATTTATAATCACACAAGCTTATGACAAAGCAAAAGAGACAGCACATATCTTGAGTGGTGCTTAGTTAAAAAATCCTAATAAAATTGTCAACATTTTTATATATTCACTAGTGGACATTTTATTTCCTCACAAACTATCAGGACCATAGGTCAGTTTAATGAAGATTAATAGCAAAGTTAAAATAGTATTGCTTGCACTTTTGGTCTAATAACTGTTGGTCTGGGAAATACTGTTGTATTTTTCCTTTAGTGGGTAAAGAGTTAGTATCTTAGTCTAAATCTTATTAAAGCATTTCCTGTGTAATTTTTTTAAAAAAAGAAGTAAAATTAAGTGTTCAGTCTGTGTTCAGAGGGTTTAGGAAAAATAAATTGGACTTGTGTTATGTCACATCAGCATAAAACATTTCTGAATCCTTGTTATCATATAGGCACCATCATCAGTTAGTTTTCTTAAAAAAAAAAAAAAAAAAAAAAAAAAGTAAGAACCGTGCTCCATTATTAGGTAGAACCAACCATGAAACCTTATCAGGTAGCAATAACTAATGTAGTTTTGTTTTGATCCTATTTATTATAGAGTAGTATAATTGAACATAATATATAGATTGATTTTTATTCAAGGAATGAATCCAGTTAGCCCTGTTAATGTGTTCAGTAAGTTTCCTTACACAGATACAAGATTGCTTTCATATTAGAAGTAATAGTCTATTTTAAAATTGGGGAAATAAATATTCTGCTTAATTATATGTCACTTAGAATTAATACCAAAGTCAGAGATGTGCTTAGAAGCATTCCTTAGTTACTTACCTATGTATGTGTACATTCATACATGTTTAAAATATTACAATATTTTAAGACTAAAGAATGTCTTTGTTTATTTTGTAAATGGTGAAAATTTGGAGCATTGAGAATGAATTTGAGGATAAAAGGGTTTTGTTTTTAGTTATTGTTTTCTTTCATCCTTTTAATGAAGCTAGGAAATCCACATTTAAATTCATTTTCTTAGACTGCAGCTATTAACTCTTTCACTTACACACAAGTTTAATTGTGGAACTGCAGTAGAGGTGACAGAATATGGATCTTCTTTTGTGCAAATGAACTGAGTGATGAGAATCTCTGGGTACCTGAATAGATACAGGGCTAGAGCTTTAAAATCTGCTCTAAAGAGAACTGGCCATTAATTGTTCACAGTGTATTTTAGAGATACTTGAAGTAAATATTAAAACATTCATTGTTCAACTTTTGTGGGAACTCTGAGTCAGCAAATTGTTTCCACTTAAATATTTAAATTTAAGCTTGAGCTTTTATAGTGCAGAAGAGGAAGCTCTTGGCTTTTCCTAGTTAAAGAAGTATCCTAGGGCTGGTGCTGTCGTCATTGAGGATGTGTTAGAAAGGAAATAAACATTCTTCTGCTTTGAGAAAATCTTAAACCTAAGGGTGAACACATAGCAAATAATTTCATGTTATAAGAAAAAAACTCCTTTTAGAAGTTAAATTGAGTCTCCAATAATTTTGTGTATCTTATGATGATTACTTGGCGGTAAGGCTGCATTATTTATCTAAAGTTGTCTTTGGGAACAGAGGGAGAAAGCCCCATTCCTAACAAGAATGTGCTGCTCATTGCTAAGTGTATAGTGTTATATTGATTCAGTGTAATTTATAAAGGCAATTAATTTGTTCCTGCAAAGAAATATTTTTAGCTTCTGAGCAAAAATAATTTGCATTTAAAAATATAGGTGTCTCCTCTAATGCTCATTTAAACATCATCTTGAAACATACCTTATGTACAGTATGTTCTTGTTTTCTTAATAAATTCACGTTTTACAATAACTTGTCACGTATTCCCCTCCCCAACCTGGGGGAAGAAATGTCCATGACACTTAACACCTTCTGTTCATCCTATATTTTATATGCCCTCTGTTTTTCAAGCTGAAACTATAGACTTGAAAGGAGCAGAAATAATGGGTTATAAATTAGGATATTTATGTTTCAAAGCAAATTAAAATGCATAATAAGCTTCCTATTTAATTGTCATTCCTCTACTACTATGATCTATTTTATGTGCTGAAGTGTATGTAGTAACCCTGCTTCCATCGTATGCTCCAGAAATATAATAACTCTTGTTCCCTGACCATGTTACCAACCTGAAATACTCATTAAAAGAAATTAATGGAGAATGAAGAAAAAAGAGTTTGCTAACAGATGATATTTCTGAATAGAAATGTCCTGTGTGTTTTTCTTTGATCCCTCAAGATGCTATCTCAATATTTTGCAAGAATTAAACTTGTACTATGTTCCTTTAGGTTTTTTTTTTATTTCTGTTATTGTTATGGTTGCATTTTTGACAGCTTCACCTTCTTAATCTTGTAATAAAAAAGGCAAAAAAAGGAGAAAAGGAATGTGAGTCAGCCAGCCAAGCACACACACAAACTCCTGGCAAAGCCCACTAAATTAGCATATGCCAGGCTGAGTATTTCCCTCTGTTGTTGCATAATCCCTTCCTAATACGAAATCAGTTCTCATACTTAACCCCTTCAGGAGGTTTGTAGTTCTCCGACTGTTAATATTTTTATTTTGTTTCATTTGTCTTCTCAGGAATTGTGTAAATCATCTATTGAAGGGCTTTTATGTCAAGCTCTTTTTTTTTTCCTCTCCGGTCTTTCCGTATACAAATGTTCCATTCTCTGTCCAACTTCAGAATCGAAGAATCAACTTTTCTATAGCTTTCACTGAGAGAATCTAATTAGCATTTTAGTCTCCCTTTACTCATGTGCAGCTTTCTTTAGAAAATGTATTAGTTCTATGAGGTTCCCCTAAGGGTTCATAATACTCTAGTTTGTTACATGTACTGTGATATTCAGTGTGCCTTAATTATGCACGTGGCCTCATTTCAAAGCCTTTTCAGGGATCATGAGGGATAGAACAGGGGTCTGGCTGTAAGTTCACTGTCATGTATTAATGTGTAGGTGGTATTCAGAGGAGGATGTTTCTGAAGGCAATTATATATCTATGACTCCAAAATAGCAAGGAGTTACTCACAGTCTGCATTTACTAGTTACCCTGCCAAGGCAGAATTAAATTCATCATTGTGATACATAATACAGTATCTGTTATTTCTAAATAGTTCTTTGCTCTAGGAATGAAACAAAATAATGAGGGAAAATGTGTATTCTTCACTCTGAATAGGAATTGTTCCTTAACTTGCTTAAAAAAATCAGATATTTTCCTATGTTAATATTCTTTTCCCTAACTCTTCCATTAACAGACTTTGCTTTGGAAGGATCTTGAAGTTTTGCTGGTTATTATTCAAGGGCTTAGATTTCTAGGTAGTATGAATTGCTTCCAGTCTATGCAGACTGCCAAATGTCAGTGCATTTAAGACATTATATTTTGGTGTTTGATTTGGAAGTTGGATGCAATTTGAGGAAGTGTGAACATTTAAGTTGAGAGAGTGAGAGAAAGAAAGGAGTATTTTTTAAAAAGACTTATCTGTGGCTAGATTGTAATTTATAAGGAAGATACTTCATGGTAAGTTTTAAAGTGCTGTGATATTAATTGTATCATTTTATTTACATGTATTTCAATACTGTGTCATAAAAAATATTGGTTTATTTTTAAACACATTGTTATTTATTTATGGCTGTGGCAGTGTAAACCCTTTTTTAATTTTGGGTGTGTGTGTGTGGTACTGAGACTGTATCTAGGGCTTCCCACTGACGTACTAGAGACAGAGTCTACTGTAAGAAGCTACCCCTGGGACTGAAGTTTCCATCTTCTGGTTTCAGCTCATCAGAATGGTGGTAATAACACCTGTGTGCCATTGCCCCTGAATGTGGAAAGCATTGCAAAAATTGATGTAGTAACTATTTTAACTAATTTTTTCTTATAAACCATACTTCTGAAACATTTGTGGCTTAAAAAATTCTGGTGGTGTCTAGAACCCATAGAATTTTTGACCAGAGTCTGATGTATTAGTTTTAGTGCACAAAAGAATGACATCTGCCCCTTATTGCTTGTCTTGAGCATTTATGTCTTGAGAACTGAACATTTTGTCTATCCTATGATCTATGTAGCTCTTTGTGTGAAATTTTTTTTTTTTACATCATTTTATGTAGTATGCCTCCTGTGGTAAACCATAGAGTTGAAATCTTAGTGTTCATTTTATTCCAAGTGCCTCATCAACAATTTGTAGCTTTTGAAATGTTTTCATTCTGCTGATTGATTAGTTCTTTCCCAATACATTTAATCTTGACACAACTCTTCAGTTGGATCAGGATATTTAAGTATTTATGGTATCACTGCCAAGATGCCAATATAGTATTCTAAATAGAGTAAATATTTACAATGACTTTTCATTTGGGGATGTTATATAAGCACCAAATGCATTGTGAGAAACACAAAACATCTTAAATAATGGCATGCTTCAGAAGACATAGTTTCCTTGCTTTTACTCGAAATCCCTTTAAATTTGCCCTCTAAACATTTGCCTCAAAGCTTTAAATCTTGCACGTTTCTTTGGGAATAAAAAGGACTTACAGCTTCCTGTTTCCTACAGATTTTTATTTCTAGTCTCCTTAGATATTTGGTTAAATATGAAGCCACATCGCCTTATTGTTCTATTTGCAGTGGCTGGTATTTCTGGATAAATGTATCAACAGAGAGGAATTAAAAACTGACCTTGATCCGCAGGATTATGAGTTCAACTGACCTGCTTTTGTAATTGCCAAGCTACACAGTAGACGTTCTCTGATTAGTCCCTGAAGTAGAGGCTCAGAGTACCCTCTCAGATGGAGGAGTTCTTGTTCCTTTTTTAAAAAACATCCTAAATATTTGTTGGTTTGTTTATTTTAGTGCTTAGTCATACTTCAACAACTGAGAATGCATGTTTGCTATGGCTGACTTTTATTTGTTGTTCTTTTCATGTGTTTGGAAAACAGAGGAAGGTAGGACGGGAATGTTAACTTCTTTCTGAAGAGAATTTAAACATAGTTGTTAGTAGTTGAGCACCAAGCAAGAAAAGGACCCTCGGGTGTGTGGTGACTACATTGCCACATATTGTGCTAAAGAATACTTTGGCTAAAAAGTCCCAGTGAACCATAACTTGTCTGAAAAATCATAGATTTTCTTCAGATTTTAAAAATGAATTGTTCTGATGTCTTTTGGATTTTTACTGTTTCATAACCTGATATTTGAAAAGGTATTATTAACTCGGTTAAGATTTACTCGTGTAAAAATCCCTCTGTTATTCTCATGGAGAAATACACCTTCAGAACATGTATAAAGTAGTTTAAACTAGCTCTGTTTTTAAGGGTTATTGCCTGTAGCATTATATTTTTCTATAACCTCTATTAGCATGTAAAAGCTTACTTGTGTTAAAGCGTGACTATTTCGATCCACAGCACAGGAGAATATACTCCACTGACGTGGCTTTGTAAGAATTGATAAAAGGGAGTGTTTGGGATGCTTCAATTTGTTGTTCCTGACTTTTTCAGTGTTTCGATCAAAATGCTTTAGTGTATTACTGATTTTTACTCATCGAGGCTGTTCCTATAAGTCTATGATTAGGTAAGACTTAATTTGTGTGTGTAACTGCATAGTATGTGAAATACCAAAAATCTGACAAAGTGTTATACCCTTGTGTTAACTCTTTTTTTTTTTTTTTTTTTTGTCTTTTTCATTTTTATCGGTACCGGGGATCGAACTCATGATCGCCTGCTTGCAAGGCAGGTGCTTATGCCACTGAGCTAAATCCCCAGCCCTAACTCTTTAGTTTACAATAATCTCCTCAGAATTTCAGTTTAATTTAAGAAAGATCATCATCTGTGACTAAGTACCAAAGCATTCTAGACTATTTTTGTGCAGAACTGCCAAATTAAAAACAATTTGTCATTCATCAAAACAATATTGTTCTAAGATCTTTATAAAAAGGTTTCATGCCCCCTAACATAACAACAAAGTTCAGTAAGATTTTATGAATTAATTGTAAAAGTCAAGTAAAATTTATATTAAAATTTCACGTCTACTAGCTGGTTTTATTTGGGGGGAGGGCATAGAAATGCTGTAGTTAAGACTAATGATGTTATGAAACTTCAATTCTCTGAATCAGTTCATTTCCCATGGACTAGCTAAAATGTAGGTAGTCTAAGAAGTTCATAGTTTTTTAGAGTTCTGGTAGAGGTCATTAAGTCACATTTACTTTAACTTTTATCTTGCTTTCTCCAATTGTATTGACTAAACAAGGATGGACTACTAACAAAGCAGAATATATTTTCTCTAAGGATATGACAGAGTAAGTGTCTATGCGTCATAAAGCTTGTATTTTTGATGAGTGCAGACAGACTTGGGAGATTAGAATATTCCTGCTAAAACAGCAGCAGATAGCTGGAGGAGTGATGTGATGGTGGAGAAACTAGGCAATAATAGATCTTCGTGGTCACCATGGAGTTCACATAGCAGCGGACAGAGCGGAACCAAAATCACTATGCAAGTTTGGTGCAGTGGCCTGCTGAAAGTCTTCAGTTTTGTAGGGAGAGTTCTTTATTCTCTAAAGAGAAGAGCTTCCATTGTATTAAGACTTTGAATTTTGGAAATTTTCTGCAGCTGCAAGCCATGATAATAATCAAGGAAACTGAGTCCTCATCCAGTTTATACTGCTGTCTTCTTTGTTGGTTAGCATATATTAGCAATACATAATTTTGCATTCCCTGTGTGGAGTTGGTATATGTACATAACTCATCTTAGTTCCTTTTTAAATTTCCTTTCTCTCACCTTCCTTTCTTCTCCCTTCTTCTCTTGATCCCTTTCTCAGTTGAGAAAGTTCTATCTTTACTTGGTATTATCTATCTTTTATTTAGCTCTTTATTTATAATTTGGGTTTTTCATATAAAAGAATCTATGTGATATATAAGCTTGTGTGCCTGATGTATGGCCACTGAACATTATGGTCTCAAGGTGGATCCATTTTTCTACAGATGATTCAACTGTATCATTCTTCATGGCATAATAGTACTGCATTTTTTTGGAATTACTACATTTTCTTTATCCATTCTGTTTTTATAGACACGTAGGCTGCCTCTTAAAACCTTTCATGAGTTAATTGTCTTGCATCTTAGTTTCCTCATGAGAAAATTGAAAGGTCAAAACCATATCCATTTTTCAGTGTTGTGAAAATCTTACAGATGACTGCAAACTATGGAAATAGTGCTTTTCCCTCTCCACATAAAGATGTTTTATAAGGCACGATAACATGAACTGTGATCTTAAAATACAAAAATTTAATTGTTCATATTTATCTTGTGTGTTATTCAGTTCCTAATGTTTTCATATTTTTATTCTGATGTATATGCTTATGTAAATCTCAGATTTTTTATTGTTTTTTAATTTTATAAATTAATCTTGTAACCATTTTTATCATAAAATGACATTTACAGATAAACTACAAAGATTAGGAAATTGCTGACCTGTTAGTCATTTTTATTATTAGAAGTGGACTAGATTGAATTTTTCAATTTTCTTTTTGACTTCATATTTCTGTGGATATGATGTATTCATAGAAATTTCTACACACATTAGTTTTCATGGCATTTAATTCAATTAAACAAAATTTATTCATTTTAATTTTATAACATACCTGCTAAAGTGATCACAGTACATATCTATTTGAAGGCAGAGTTGTAAATGCTGGATATCCAAGGTAGAAATGGTCTCTCCCCTCAGGAAGCTGACAGTTTAGTTAGTGGTCTAAGAAAAAGAAATGAAAATACATATTGCTTTCGTTCTTTCTGTTTTGAATTAAAAATAAAAACTCTGTTTTTATCATAGTATCTTTTCAGATACTGAATGTGAACATATCATTGAAAATGTGAAATCACTGATTTAACAACAAAGTTATAAAACTCACTGAGCTTTTAATGTTTCTTATTTAAGGTTGGATTAAAGAGGTTTCATTTCCTCCAGTTGTTTATCATGAAAACATTCTCAGTAGGATGCCAGTTTCTTTATCTCTTTTTTTATTAATACAACTTGAAAGAAGCTGACAAGTGAACAAGAAATATTCAAGCATGTTCTATCCTAACTGATTTGTTCAAGAGGATGATTCATTTAATTTCATAAAGGCTCAGTGGGCCAGAACAGTATATGACCAGGTCAGCAGGGGGAATGTAGGGGAGAAGCGGTCTGGAGAAGGATCTATGTAACAAGCAACAATATTTAGTTTTTTAGAGCTGGAGTTCTGCTTGAGCAATTCTGATGTTACCAGCAACAGTCATTTAAAGAGCTGTTGATCCCTCAGGGAAGACATTTTTTTAAAGTGTCCTATCACAGAATAGTGCTCCCTGTACTGTGTCATATATATTAAAACTCCATCCCTTGTTTATATTATAACACATTGTGCCTGATTAAAACTTGTACTATTATAATATGAATTCTTGAGAGTGCAGATGGAACATTTGTGGAGACTTTCTTTCTGGTGAGTCTGCTGTGAATTTTTTTTGAAATATCTAGCTTATAAACAAAGGAGAACAGATAGAGATCCAGTTAGGAATTTTGAAAATAAAAGAAATTTTGTATACAATGATGTAACATAGCGGAGAGAATATTCTTGGCATCATTTGTCACTCTCATTAGTGAATTACGATCTCAAAGTGGAAAGAATGCTATATTCATGGTAGGTTATATTGTAGTTTAAACATTACTATTTATTGGCTGATGATACACCTGGAATTGATACACATTTGTAATAGATGAAGTAATTCTGTTTAACATTTATATACACTTTGGAAGCCATAATCAAAGTAGTCTAGCATGTATTTAAAGACTTGCTTATTTGGATTATATACAACAGTAAAATGCAGGTAGAAGCTTAACCATTCTCATTCACATTACTTTTATTTCATAAGAAACTATAAAATTAAAGCAATTTAAGTAAATGCTCTGTGACAGGTGATAATTTTCCAGAGTGTAGTTTTATGCTAAATGATTTATTTTGAAAATATATTCAGTTTTCCCGAGTCAATCAGAGATGCATACATATCTGGAAACTTTTATAGCGGGAACTAGGTGGTGCTATTCGGTCATCTTTGTGTTTCAGGGGCTTCTTTTTGTCCTGTTCCAGATTCGTTAGACACTTTCATACAGTGAATTTATGAGGAAGGTACATCTTTGGTCTTTGAGTAGCATTATTTCTTTTTATTAAACAACTAAGTGTATGTTGACTTTGATCTTTAATTTTAGCAGTATTATACAGCAGGTAAAAATCTCTACAGACGTAGCAAGACATATATCATAGTTCACTATTTCTCTCATGTCTTTCTTTAAAATTGAAGATATATTACATTCTGAAATTTTCAGATATTTGTTATAAGTCTATTTAAAACTCTGCTTTTCCTTTTATTTGCCTAAACTTTTATAATTGAGTCAGAAGATAAAATTTTGACATTTGTACAATTGGAGTCCCTTTCATAGAAAGTGCTACAAATGCATCTGTTCCAGAAAGCATTTATGTCATTTGAATATAAGAAATTTTATTAAATGTTTAAGCAAAAGAAAATAAACCTGTTTCATGAAAAGAAATTTTGTGTGACTAATTTACTTCCTTGTCAAAGAAACAGACCTGTTAGTGTTGTCACGCTTCAGATCACTGTGCTTTCCAGTGACCTTGGTGGTACCTGATCATCCAAAATACAACACTTATTTAAACCTAAATAAATGTAACTTTATTACATGTAACTTTATTACATTGGTACCTTTGGGGTATATTTTCTTGGAAATAATTATGCCTTCTTTTAGATACCTTTATATTTCAGGAATGAAGAAAAACCGTCAATGATTGAAGTTTTTTTTTTTTTTTCATTAAGATCATCTTGTACTGTACATAAATAATTATGTTAGGTTTTTAAATGATTTTTCAATGCCATTTTGAAAAGTATGTTATATAACTTATTCTCATGAAGATCTATCTATAAGATAATAATGGAGTACTTCAGATGTTCTAGTGTGTGACCTTGCAGAATTGCAGTTCTGGATATCTTTTATTTTAAATGGGGGAAAATTATATCATTATTTTTAAATACAATGAATTTACTAGAAAAACCCTTGATATTTTCTGCTATTTTGTGAATCTTTTACCTGTATAAGAAAAAAATCAATACAGAATTTTAAAAAATGGTTCTACAGAATACCATCTATGTAGAATGAATATCTCAAGATAACATATTGTAGATTATCACACAAAAGCAAAGCTAGTATTAGATTTCTGCACTTGTGCCTGGCTCTCTAAAAAAACAAAAGTCACACATATTCAATATATTTAGAATGAAGGAACTGCAAAAGAGAAATGGAATTATTCTTTCACAAAGAAAGCTTTCATTTGCTATTAAGTGAAAACTGCCTTATGAAAGATTTGTTAGCTACCATTTTATATATCTATAACCTTAAAATGTGAAGAAATCTCACTGCCAATGGATAAAATCATTTTAATAAAACAGCTTGATGTTATATTTTATGTATAAGTTTTTAAATAAAAATACTCCCTCACTTTCAGGTATTCTGGTTATGAGAGTAAGTCTGGTGATTTGTTGTTGTTTCAGAACTAAAACTAGATAGATAGACGCCAGGCACATCTCTGGCAATGTTTCTTCTTTGATGGAGGCTCTAGATTTTAAAACAAAATTGTTCTACATGTTTTTGATAATTTCTTGTGCCCGTTACTCTTGTAGATCTTTCATTAGAATAGGAAAAAGCTTCATCCATATTTGTTTGCAGTGAAGACTAATCTGCAGTAGTATAGCATAACATAAACAATTAGTGATCAATGGCAGAAAACAGATTATTCAGAGTGGCAACTCATCATTACAAATGTTTCTTTGGAAATTTCTATGGAGGATTATTTTCAGTTGCACATGTTTAATTAGTGTTGAAAGATTTATAGCTCATGAACCTAAAGGTGTTTTTAGTTGAAAAGGTTGACAAAAACCCAACAACTACTAAGAAAACAGTAATGAGTAGTGAATTTCTTTCTGTGATAGCAGAATGAGTGACAAATATAGAAAAATAGCTGCGGATAACTAGGTTAATAAAGAACATGCACAGTATAATAGAAATGATATAGGTGTTGTAGACTTTTTAACTATGTTTTGATTTTCCTGATAGAAAGTCGAATCTCAAATATGATTTGATATAGAATAAAAAAGCTCATAGCAGGAAATCAAGCTTTGATGAACCCAGTGTATACTGGCCTATGCTGAAGGAGATTTGAATGGAACTGAATAATAACTTATGATCATCTTTGGTACAGTGTGTCCAGAACCAATCAAACATCTGTAGTGGAAGAACACTGGTAATAGCATTAATAGGTAAGTCTAAATTATATTAGTCATGTATATAAGAAATAAAATAATGAAAAATCTTTGCGGGAAAATACATTACTACAAACTGAACATATTCTCATACACAGTTTACATCAAAATGAGAACATTCTAAATGTATCTTACTTGGTTGCCTTTGATTGTCCCAAGTTCAAATTTGTCTTAAAAAGTGGTGCTGTATTCTCCTTACAGTGTGTTGTTATAGGTGATAGGGTACGATAATTAGAACGTTCCTGTGTTTTTGCAGGCCAATCACTGGATAACCTTTTCTTAGTGGGGCTTTCCAGTTTACAAATTGTCAAGGTTTTAGAAGTATCTTCTCATTGGGTGCATATGTTAAGTCCTGAAACTAGAACAAACAGCAAAACAGAAATAATTTTTAGCAACAGCAATGGTTTCATCATTGATTTGTTTTTATACAATATTGACTTCAAAACAATGCAAAACTTACTAAAGAATTCTCAGCACGTAATTCTTAATGTGTAAATCAGCAGGTGTTTCCTAGAGAACATGGCCCCCTTGAAACTCAAATCTTTAATTTGGTAAGGATTGACATTTTGGGGAGCTAACTTCCTCAGTCAACTCATTTGCAAATATCTTTGTGTACTCTAGTCACATATATAGATATAAGAAAAGCATTAAGAATTGAAGTTGCTAATCTACACATCAAGAAATAAATCTAAACATGTATATAATTCTGGAATAGTCCAATATCTAAGATGTTAGCATTGCTATCAGCAACTATTTACAATATTAATTTGTATAAATATACTTTTCCTTTTCCCTATTAGCTAGTAATCTCTGCAAGTACAAAGATATTTATATCATTTATTTATTTTTATTTTTTTCTGATTTTTCACCTTAGAAAATTGCCTGGCTGTAGTTGTTTCCTAAGTTTTTGTTGTGTGAGTTTTTTTCTGTTTATTTTTAAAATATTACACTTTGAGCAACTTCCCATAATGAACAGAAATCAAATTAATAACTTTATTAATTTGGTAATGTATTTAAAATACATCTGCTAAATTTATTATGACTGACTACAGGTCAAGTCCTTTTTAAAGATATGCTGAATACCATATTTGAGTATATGCACATTGTTTGAAAACATTTGTAATTGTGCTTATACTTCTGTTCATTAAAAAATGAAAATAGAAAACAGTTTTTTTGTTTGAAATGTCATAATGCTTTTTTTGAGGTACTGTACATTTCCTCTGTTGGTTGTTTATCTTTGCTAATAGTTTAAGATACACATATAAATTTGAGTGCATATGTGCTCATGTGTTGTTTGGGTGTGTATATTTAACACCAGAAATTGTCTGAAGCCATGAAATTGTAACTGAATTATGAGAAGAAAATAAAGCCAAATATCGTAATAGGCCATATGGGAAATTTTACATAAGAAACATGTTTTAGCAAAATTGGATGAAAGTTTGAAATAAGCTCTACTGCACTTTAGATTTAAACATGATCTCATTTCAACCCTATTTAAATCTTATTTCAGAGGCAGCATAGTGTAAATGGAAAGGACCAGGGACAGGGCCTCAGGAATTAAAGTTCTGATTATGACTGTGCCATTGCTTCCCTCTGTCACTCGGGGTGCTCTCCAGGGGTCAGTTACTCACAGGGTGTTAGGCTTGGATCATCTCCAAAGACTTTGCAACTTTAAGATGGACTATAATTCAGTAGCTAAAATAAAATAAATGAATATGCTATGCAAAGGTTAGGATATGATTATTTCTTTGCCATTATATGAAAAGTTTTAAGCAAACATGCTATAAAAGGATGAAATATACTACTAGTAAAATTTATAAAATTCTACTGATGCACATTTGCATGTATTTAAAATACTTGTGTGTGTGTTGAATTTTGGAGCATGCTTACAGCTGTATAAGTACATAAATCAACTACATAAGTCAGTAAATAGGAGTGCATGTACAGGTATTCATTGTATTTCTGACTTTTGACATTATTTTCTATCATGGGATCTGTGAATACTAGAAATGGTATCTTGGGAAAAATATTTAGAAATATCCTTAAGCCAGGAGAAGGAAACAGTGATTCCAGGAATAGACTTCAAGAAATGAAGATTATTTACCAAAAAGTACCGTAAACATCTTTTAAATTTAAGTAACAGCTCAAAGCAAAGGTAATACTCCTAAACTACTACAAGGATACTTAGATTTTTGCTGAAAAATAATTTCCCGATAGGACTGCTAGACTTTAAAATGGAATGTGATGAAATGCATCCTTAGTGTCTAAAGAACAGATGATTTTTTCCATCTCATTGGATGATTTAAAAGTGCACACTTCAAGATAAAGTTGGCGATCTGAAGGGCTTCAAATCATGAGCTAGCTCATCATGAAACCAGTTTTCACAATTTGAAACTAATCCAGAATTTCACTTTTATTTAATGGAATTTGTTCTGAAGAAACCCAAATGCTTATTATTTCCTTTCTAAGTATGTCATAAAATTAAGGTTTTATTGATTAATGTAGAGAGGATTTTATAATAACCCTAATCATAATCATACAAAGAGTTAAATTCCCTTCATTACAGAGCAAGGCAAATGTAAAGTGTTTATAGGCGATGTAGAAGGTCAGTCCTCAGACTAATTCAGCGACAGCCCCAGATGCCTGGCTGAGCTGCCAACACAGTTGCTTTTGGAGTCTGCCAGAAAGTCAGCTGCAGCTGCAGGGAACATTTTTCCCCCTCCATGCATTTCTAAGCCTGTGGACTTTGACAATTGCCATGGAAAGAACAGAATTAGAAAATGTAATGCAGGGTGATGATCACCTTAGTTACCCTATTAATGGTTTTCAAATTAATTTATTATGAACAGCTAAGTATAAACAGCAGTTTTTACACATATGCATGTTCTCAAATCTATTTAGTGACATTTTGGAAATTAACATGGTGTGATTATCTTTGATTTTCACATTTTATTATTTTGAAATTTCTAGTAAAATAATATTTTAATAGCACAAAGCTACAATTTTGTATTATGTTCAGCAGTTAGAGAAACAACCACAGATCATGGGAGCAGAGGAAACTAACATGGTATGATTTTGAAATCCAGCAGGGCTGCCTTCTGATCTTCCTTTGCTGTGTAACATTGAGAAAGTTATTTTACATTCCTGAGGTTAAGATGTTTTATCTGAAAAATAGAACTGTGATATCCTTCTCAGAATAATCATGGGGGTTATTTAATTAACATAATAAAATGCTGGTGTGTCCAGACATTATGGACACTCAATAAAATTATAGGAAATTTTTGATAGAAAATCCCACAGTAATTGTTAAACACAAAATGTGTGTTAGAGCCTCAGAATTCTGGATGCACATTGCTCAGTGGTATTTTGTACTCCACTTTTAACAGTATCATAACAACAAAAGATAATCTAATGAGAAAGATTTGGAGCTCCCTGATAATAATCACAGAAAATTTTGAAAGAAAATAGTAGTATATTCTTTCATTTTAAACTCTTAACTTTAGGCCAGTTTGCTAGAGAAAGAAAGGAGAAGAGGGAAAGAATCTTAAAATCAAAAATGATTGTAAATATGCAAGTAAGTACTGACAGAGAAGTGACTTTCAAGTGTTACAGCAGCAGTGTACTTTAAAGGTAAATTCCTTGCATTTTGGACCTTACATCTATTTCTCTATTTGAGTTCAGACAGCTTTTACTCATTCATTTTTCTCTTTCTTCTCCCTTTTCTTTGCCCGCCCCCTTCTCTTTTTAGTTCTGTTCTGTTTTGAAAGTAAATAACAACCACAGAGAGTATCTTTCTTTGTTGAAAGTATTAAATATGTTCTTGGAAAGAACATCTTATTTTTATACAGATGGGTTTCAGAAAAGAAATGTAATCAGGTGTCAACAATGTAACCAAAAAGTGTACTACTCACCTGGGTGTGAATACAAGGTCTGTGGAGTGATCAGTCTCCTGCTTTTCTGTTCACAAGTACAGTTATGTTCTGTGGACGGCATTGTTTTAGGCAGCAAGTGAAACCTTGCTTGCTTTGTCTTTATACTTGTGTTTCAAGTGTGACTCACATGTTAACTATTCATTATATAATTCAGTCAAGGTTTCCAAAGGCCAGGCTACTTTTTTTTTATTTTTTAGCAGACATGCTATGTGCACCTCGGGAATACCAGCATTTGATCTCTCTTCTCTTGTGATTCTCAATTGAATAGGAATATTGTAGATGCATTTCTCAGGGAGAAAATAGCTTTTGCTCCCCTTCCTTGGGATTTATCATTTTCAAGTTAATAGAATATGCACATTGACCAGAGTATTTTACTATATGTCGTTCTGGATGTAGAGAGTAGAAAAAAGGCTCCAATTAGTAATAATTGAGAATTAATGTAGCTCTGTAAATACTGTTTTATAAATAAAACTTTTAAATCATTATTTATGCTGATAGTTTATATTAGCATATACTAATTAACTGATATATACGTAAAATTCAAGATGCAGATTTCTACCAAGTACCTATATTAATTGCATTTTTAGGATATTGTTATTTAGCCTACACAATATACGCAGACTTTAATTGACAATATTATAGGAAAGGAAAACAGATATGCTTAGAGAGAAGAAAGGATTAGGATGTTACCTTCGTTGTATGTGTGACTGCCATATATATAATATCTTATTGTTTCAAATAATTTATTAGAATTTGAATTGATATTTTAAAATTGTATTAGTTTGGAGTTTATAACTGAATAAAAATTTAAAAACCTTTTTCTTCTAAAAATACATCAGAAAGAAGTATATTAAATTCTAAAATATGAAATGGTAATATGATCAGTGCAATGTAAGTAAGAATTACAGAGCATAGAATGCAGTTTAAATGGTGTAACTGCAGTAAAAGAGGTATTGTACCATGTTTGAAATAAAATGATCATATTTTCATATATCATATTTGATTATTTAACACCCTCATACTTTATCTTGCTATGTATCATTTTTTGGCTGCATGTGAAAGACCACAAATATGACTACTGTGATCGCCAATTTTTTTGCATCAAATACGTGGGAGAGCCCATTTTCTAATCTGTAAACATTATAATAATAGTTCTCAATAAAAAGTTTTTTTTTCTTGCTTCTTCTCTCTGGTCCAGTGTATATTTTTCCTTTTTAATTGAATATAGATGGTTCATTGCTTTTTATTTTTCTTATGCAGTTGTTTGGAATTTTATTGTTATACCTGGAATTTCACTGATGTCAATTTCTAATAAAACAAGTTTTATGAGAAATCAAATGGACATCTTTTAAGAGAATGCTGGTGAAATAATCCCTGCACATTGCAGGGAAAGCTTTTTTCTGTGCAGAGTTCTTAGAGGTGTCAGAAATCATTGTCTACCTTCCCTTTCTTTCTGCCTGGAGCCAAACAGGGAATTAGGAAAGGAAAAGAAGTGCTCTACACACAATGGCCTTCAGTGAATATTATCGATGACTAGACACCTGCTAGGATGTAAAGGCATTTAATCCATATTATTTTGCCTTTTAACTTGTCAACTTAGACATGGCAGCCCAAAGAGTTTTCTGTCAAACATTAGCTTTTACATTGCATTTTAGTTTTTTATTTTTCATCCTACATGTGGGACTTTAAATACTGTGAATATATTTAGCTGTATGACGATGAACTAGGAACATGTGTTCTTTACCAAAACATTTACAGAGAGTGCTATACATAGGTACACATTAGTAACTTCAGAAATTATCCTTATGAATACAAATGCCAAAAGAAGTGTAATCCTTTTTGATTTTCTGTATCCACAAATGCTTTCTTCCTTGTGGCTAATCAGAATATGCTATTAATGTAATAATAAAAATGTTATCAATTTGTAGTTATTTTGAAGAATATCTTAAAAGGTAATTAAACAAGATAATTTCTAGAGAACAGAAAATCGTGTATTTCCAGGAGAGGGAAACTGAGCTCTTCCCTGCAGAAAATTTAATGTTTCCTTGACTAGGTCTGTAATACATGGTATGCTACAAATGTTAGCACATGAAAACTAAATTCCATGAAAGGTTAAAAATTTTTCCCTACTTTTTCTAATTATGAAGGCAAGATAAAAGCTACAGTAATGAACTTCAGCATTAGAACAGCAGGATATATCATATGTCTTGGGAGAATGATTTGTGAGGCATAAGCTACACAAAGCAATTGGAAAATTCTTATTACTTTTGATGACAGTCTTCTGATAATACATTTTATTTTGTGGAAAACTCTAAAAATAATCTTTTCTCAATAGCTCAGCAGCATATCATCCGACACGTACTATACTAGACAACACAGTTCTGTAACTGTTTTTGAGCTTTTCTGCCTCTCCCACATTGTGCACTATTCTTGCCTTTAAAGTCACTTTGTTGACGTAGTTTTTACAATTTGATGTAAAGAATATAAGTTAAAATATACTAAAATGACCTTTAAAGTTATTGATTGACCTGTTTACTCTGGCGTGAATAAGAACTGGAAGACGAGTGCTGATAAATCTGTTACTGATATCCAGGCCTCAGTTGTTAATTTTACAATGAATCCTGGATATCTTCACCAAAAAAAGAAAAACATAATAAAAGTTTGCACTCAAAAACCAACAGGCTTCCACACTGAGCTCATCATTTTCTCCCACTGTCGCCCACCTGTGTGCCCTGTGTATCTCTGTAGTCCCTAGGCCAGTCATTGCCCTCCCAGCCACCCTAACTTCTAAGCGAGGAAAACGCTGTCCTAACTCCTCCATCTCCGTTACCTTCCATATTAACTTAATCAGTGCTCTTTATGTGGCCTTTTCTTTTTCTGTGCATTGTCACAACCTTGTTTGGATCCTTGCAGCTTTTCATCTGCACAGTTGTTACATTCTCTCACTCACCAGTCTGTTCCCACTGCCTGAACCCTCCACACTATCTCCAGCTTTTTATTCTTAAAAAAAAGGGGTTACTTTTCTTTTCTATGAAAAGCTCTCTACAGGATCACTCTTTTCAACACTAATTAAAGCACAAACTATTTAGCTTGACATAAAAGACATTCTCATTCTGACCCAAATGCCAACCACTTACTGCTAACTACTACACCCACTCTCTCAGAGTCCCAGTTCCATTGAAATTGCAGCATTTTCAAAGTCGCGTACATCTTGATGTGACTGCGTGCTTTAACACATGCCAACATTAACAGCTAAGAGAGTGTGCTAATGATTGCAGGTGTAAGTTGCAGTAATCTTGAAAGTAAGCCATATTTGATGTCCAGGGCTTTAGGAGAAGGTATTTCTAATGTTGAAAGTTAACAGGCAATAAGACTGAATCCAATTCTCTATGTACACAGACACACAAACGCATGCACACACAATAAAAGAAACCAAGGGCAACAGATTTTTCATTTATTACTGAGATAGTTCATATTGCTCATGCTTTCAAGAATTCTTGTTCTGAATAGCAATTCATTTAATTGTATAGCTCCTGTACTTAAAGCCCAAGTTGTACATTTTCACAAGTCTGTGTATATGCATATAAGTTTTATATTTTAATATATTGCCAGCAATATTGTTTTATAACCTTGTGAACCATATCATAATTATAGTTTTCTATATTCAAAATTAACATATGGAGAATGGCATGGATACTCTGGTCAGCAGGTCTTTTAATTCTTACATAGACTGATGAAATGTGAATAAAAATACACTTGTTTAAAACTGAGCAATTTATATTGTATTTTCAAAACTATAACTAGATACCTTTATAGCAATATTTACGCAATACCACAAGGATTTATAAAATGTAACTTTCATTAAACCAAGGTGATAGTAATATAGAGAATTTCAGTTTTTTTTTTTTCATGCAGTTTTTTCCCCTTTTTTCTTTGCATTTCTACATGTTTGCAGTATGGAGTGATCCCATTCATCACAGGAAGGTGATACATGGACAGAAAACATTTTCATTCTCTTTACATCTTTTCTACCCTCATCCTCTCCATCTCTTGGTCCTCTTTTCATGTGCAAAGATTTGAATCATTCTAGAGATTAATTTTTAATCATGGCTCATTAATAATAATTACAAAGTGAAAAAGAAATGAGCTTCCATCTATATTTGCTTCTTATATAAATTATTGCACATAGTCCATTTAAATTTTTTTTCATATATTCTTCACTACGGAATTATCAGAAATAAGGCATAATGTCACCAAAAGCAAACTATTTTATAGTTTTTCATCTTTAATAGAAGCAGTTATTTTAGTAGCGTTGCTGACCTGATAATTGCTAGTAGGTCTAAATTGGATGTACTTCAGTTAATGCATCAGTAAGTGAAGTACCTTCAATGCAATTAAAAGATTCTAATCTAACCAAAGGAAAAATCTTGTTCATATTGACCACTTTAAATTCAGACTATGATTTCATATTTTTTAAGTGGTCCCTGGATTAGCTGACCCCATTAGTGGGTTACAACTCTCTTTTGACATGCCACTCTGCTGAATAAGCATTTCTGAAAGTTTTTGAATGAACCTCATCAGACAAAGATCACTGGCCTATTTTCAGAGCAGACAGGCAAAACAGAGTTAAAGAACCATGCTATTTTTAGCCTGAAAATTGAGGAAATACTGGATGGAAGTGAAGGATGATAAACAACTTGAAACAAATATTACTACATCTGAAGTGTACTTTTTTTTTTTTCCATTGAAGTATTTATTCCTGTTTTATCAGACATCTGTGACCCTGATTGCTGAGTGATAAGAATTTTTCAGTTTTTCTCTTGGCACTAATAGATAGTTTTGTGGACCTACCCACAGAATTTAATCTGTGGGGATTATATCTCCTTGCATGCTTACCCCTGGCCTGCTTTTACAGGAAATGAAATTCTTAAATGAGTTCACAAAGAAACTATTAATTGTAAGCCAGTTGTTACACTTAAGGGGTAGAAAGTTATTTTCTACTTTTTTGTGTAGAATGGATCTTGGATTTCTAAGATAGCAAACATTGGAAAGAGGACGGAAACCTTACTACTCACACTAAAAAAGGAGTGGTAG